CCGTAGGCAAACAGTGCTGTCATTCGGAACAGTCAGGCTGACTTATGACACCGACCAGTGGTGATCGATCGAAGAAGCCGCGAGCAATCGGAAGCCAAACATGTCACAGGACGATTTATGTTGCTACCGCCTGAACGTCATGTTACGGCGCATGCCGGCGTCGTCTGACTGGGGCGGCATACCGGCTACCCCCTTAAGGGCCATATGGTTCGCAGCCGGTGGGCAAACAACACCTGCTACCAGAGGCGCGATACCGCACACGTCTCCGTGATGCGTTTGACAGACGACTCTGTCGTGGTACTCGACACATTAAGCAACCGTCGAGGGAATCACACAGAAAACTGCGATGTGCACTCACAGTTGCTGAACGACTACAGACATTTTCTGTGTAAAGCAAATTTGTCTATCAACAGCTACCTGCAGGAAAGGCCACGCGTGATATATGTGCCCCTGTTTCGCTGACGATCATTACTGGAAACGATTATGTGGATTGAATTCGAAAGGGGGACAGATTCTGTTTTGTCATGAGGTACAAAGGCGTATAAATTAGCATGAAGCACGTAGAAAACAAATTATGCACAAGGTGAGGTATTGCAGCGCTGACGAAGCGTGTGCGTCTGTTTGGTCAGTTCATTTTGTTGCAGCCCGGTCTCGTTATAACGGCTTCCGTTATTTTCCATGTTTTAGATTCCTTGCTTTCTAACTATGTTGCTAGATTGTCACTGGATGACCATCGTTTGCTTCGCTAATGAAGGGTCAATACATTTCCGTATTCTGTTTCTGCGTCTTCTTCCAGTTTTTGCGCAGAGGTAGTAATAACCTGTTCTAACTCCACATCTGTTCATAATCGTTGTAATATGTCACTCAGGTACCTTTGGTGGGGAACACCACATATTTAGGATATCTAATTTCAAACCAGTAACCCATATCACTTGGAAGTTTTTCGGAAGACAAACCGAAGGGGACAATTACACTGTTGCAGATTATATTTTTTGGCAGCTGCA